GTGTCGCATTCATATTGAGTCGCATTTTTGGCTAGGGTCCAGTGGTCGCATTCTTTTGGAGAGGCATTAATTTCACGATTTACAGTACTTCATGTAAGACAAGAGACAAGACAAGCGACAAGTTAATTTCTGAGAGAAGGTCTCACAGCCATATAATGTTGTTGTCTTTTTAAAATTCAAATATGGCTAGGTTTTTAATGCAAGCAATATTATTTGAAGACAATAGTAGGTATGACACATAAGTTATAAGTTATAAGCATATTGTTATAAGGTAAATATTGCACCACTTGTGTGAATGAAAACTACACCTAAAGAAAACTCTGAACCATACATCAATGCACCATCTATTGGCCCATCTATTTGAAAGATACATTTAAAAGTGAACTCGACAAGATGGAAGAACAATTCATAACAAAGAATGTTGATGAACACAGGCCATAGCATGAGGCTGCTGTGTCATTGTAAGTCTCTCTCCCAGACCCTAGAGAATAGACTGAAAAAGGAGTCCAACTCAAATCTTGGATGATTTGGCAAGTCTAGATTGCCTCAGCTCTATCAAGGCCAAAGTGACGCAGTTAGAGATCCCGACAAAGGATGCTGTAGTCCAGTCAAGGAGAAATGTTCAGAACCCAGATCATATTGAGTCGCCAAATGGTGGAATCCTCAGGAAAAACAGACTTGAGATAAGAGAATCTTGCCAAACTGCTCAACCAAAGAAAGTCATGTCCAAAGACAAAATTACAAAGGTTAAATAACCCACAAAACCACATTAAACCAAATAATACCCATGGGAGAAGGCACCACTCCAGCCAGGACAACTCAACCTTCACCTGCAGACTGTAAACAATGATGTAGACTGACATTTCGTCCCAGAAATAGTTATCTTATTAACACTCTATTGCTACCAAATGTTAAAATGGGAGCCATTTACAATCCTTAGTTTCAGGGACTAACCTAATAGGCAAACGTCTAATTTGTTTCTGTAATCTTGTCAATGTCAACCTTCATTTTGTGTTTACTCAGCCAGCATATTTGTGACTACACCCTTCCCTCCTTCCTTGATATTCCCAGAGACCATATATCGGTATATGAACTCTGCATAACAGTTAAAGAACCGCATTTTGATTTCGGTGCGCGATTTTGATTGGACTATGCATCGACTTGTCAGTCCAGCCAAAACCTAACTCCTTAATACCAGCCTAGTTCGGCAAGGGTGGAAACTGGACTTTTATAGTCAGTTAACTCTCTTGCCTCGGGAAGATGGATGCCATGAGGGATACCAGAGATCATATACCGATATATGGTCTCTTGGGATACCAAGGGAGGAGGGAAGGGAGTATCCACAAATATTTTGGCTGAGCCTCTCTTGCCTTGGGAAGATGCATGGCACCACACAACCACAATAGTTGCTTTTGTTGTGTTGTCCAGCTCTCTGTATAGACATGATACATTTATATAGAGCTGAGGCAATCTAGACTTGCCAAATCATCCAAGATTTGAGTTGGACTCCTTTTTCAGTCTATTCTCTAGGGTCTGGGAGAGAGACTAACAATGACGCAGCAGCCTCATGCTGTGGTGCGCAGTCAATGGACCACAGTTCTCACACTGGTGAGTCTATAGAACACAAAGTGGCAGAGAGATCAACCAACCAAGCAGATCCAGAGAACCTTGTTAAAACTGTTAATGAATTGTTTTATAAATTTTTAAGTAACCAGTTCAAGTTACGTTTCCCTATTAATTTACCTTGTGTGCCAAAGCTATATATGCCATAAATGCTAATACCCCGGTAATTAAAGCTCCGCGTTTAAGCACAATGATTCGTTGAATCATTACAGCACTCACTTCCCAAAACTGCCACAGCTTACACCCGGAATATGATTCTGTACAGCATTCGAAGCACAGTATGTAATAGAGATATAGACCTACATCTAATGTCGATAATCAGTCAATGCCCAATACTTTATTCATACAAAATATACACCTGTTACATTTAGCGAAAGCAGATATATTTCCCCATAGCATTTTAAACATTCTCACACCGGTGGGTCTATAGAACACCAAGTGGCAGAGAGATCAACCATACAAGCAGATCCAGTGAAGCGTATTAAAACTGTTAATGAATTGTTTTATACATTCTTAAGTAACCAGTTCAAGTTACGTTTCCCGATTAATTTACCTTGTGTGCCAAAGCTATATATGCAGTAAATGATACAGAAAGTAGTTATTCTCTTCCGTGCCAAATAGTGATATACTGTGCTAGTCAAAATCAGAAGTGCCAAACAGGCTGACAGTAGTCATGACGACGGTCATTTCTGACCCAAATAGACTGACAGTAGTCATGACGACGGTCAGTAGTGACCAACATGCCTGTGTATATTGGAATTACTATTCTGCTATGAAGACCAAGTGACATTATGAACATTAAATGTTTTATCTCTTCATAAAAAACAAAAACAAGAAGAAGCTAGTAAAATATATTAAATTCAGATTTAAAGCAGTCATTAAGCTACGTAGGTGTTATATGAGCACACTTAAGAATATGTCTCAAGTTCATGTCAGTTGATGTAGTTAATAAATTGGACATACTTAAATTGAAAGAGGTGATGTAATCGAACTATTTTATGACCTACATCGGAAGCTGTGATGTGTACCCGTGTAGTGATAAGCGTCTGTATGTAGTCCCTATCATGGGCTATTGTTTGAACCTTGCTAATACCCTGGTAATAAAAGCTCAGTGTTTAAAGTTCAATGATTCGTTGAATCATTACAGCACTCACTCCCCAAACCAGCCACAGCTTACACCCTGAATAAGATGCTGTACAGCATTGCAAGCACAGTATGTAATTGAGATATAGACCTACAGCTAATGGCGATAATCAGTCAATGACCAATACTTTATTCATACAAAATATACACTTGGTAAAATTAGCGAAAGCAGATATATTTCCCCAAAACATTTTAATTTTCTTTTTTAAATTATATTACGAAACACATCTTAGGTACGACTGTCATTTTATATTACACACTCCAAGTTTTAGTGAAACCCAAATGGTGGTCTCCATCACTCAAAAAGAAACTAACCAAATACTTATAGAAAATATTGTAGGTCATTAATGGGAGGGAGATAACCCATTGCTGAATCGTTAAACATACTATTTCTTCAAATTCATTTTGTCTCATTTCACATGATTAAGGTTATTTTCAAGAAAACTATTTAAATAAGAACAATTTTTTAACTGTAATGTAACTGACTACACATTCTTGGAAAAAGTTTTAAAAAATGATAAGAGGCCTAAATATACATAAATGCATTATGTCTGTCCAGGCCATATGTTATCTAAAATACTGTACTTTAAAACTGCTGCTAGCTTTAGTCTGTAAACGTGCAACATCTGTCGACTCTGCTTTTCTAATTACTGAATGTCATTCTTTAAAAATCATGCTATATTTAAAACATTATGTTGAAGCACACTATAATTGTTGTTGCAGTTTAGTCAGAGCCAGGAATTCACTGGCCATTCTGAACGTGCATTTTGTGCAAGCGAAACTGACAAAAATATAGGTCATTATGCAAAACTCAAGAGACTCGAATCGGTTGATTCTAGAAGTAATATCAACAGATTCTCATGACCTCTCCATTATGTGTGTAATTGTGCAAAAGAATATGTAGCCTTACACATGATACAATATGGACGGGTACAGACAATCAGCAAACCGTATTTAATGCAATGAGTCATTAATGCATCAGAAAACAAATCCTCAAATGTAGAAAAGATTAATCTTGTTTCCATGGAAATGCTTATATCTTTATTTATGTCTTTGACAGTTTGTTAGTTATTCAATGCCATACTCCTCACAATTCCAGTTACAAGATGGTTACCAGGAGATGATAGAGTCTGGACTAGACAGTGTCATGTCGTAATTAGCAACAATGCAATTAACGGTTAACATGTTTGTTTGTTTGTTTGTTTGTTGTTAAAGCCACATCCACCAATATTCCAGGTTTATGACGGCGGTCTGTAAATAATTGAGTCTGGACAAGACAATCAGATGTGTGTGTGGGTGTGGGTGTGGGTGGATGGATGGATGGATGGATGGATAGATAGATAGATATGTATATATATGTATGGATATATAGAAAGATATGTGGATGTGGATGTATATATTAGGGCTGGGAAGAGTCCAAATTTACTACCTAGGTACCCGACCCCTATTACCCGACCCTACACGGGTACCAACTGTAGGTTTCAATAGTGGGGAACAAAATGTCTGATTGGGAATTGTTTGACCGCAGCCCTATCAAAAACTATTTAGATGCATGTATCAAACGATCAGATCATGAAGTTGATACACTGAAGCTGACTGAAGCTTTATTCTTACTCAAACATATACAAGTCAAAAGTAATGTGTGCATCGTCATAAAGAAATGCGAATATTACTTACTTGTAGTGTAACCACTGAGTTATAGTGAGTTTTTATAACTATACATCACCTGACTAACCACGGGTCAGGGTAGTACTGTGGGTACCCGGGTCCTACTCAGGACCCAAATACCCAAGTTACCAGTCCCTGCCCTAGTGTATATCTACATATGTAGCATACCTTGAATGTACCTAAGCCTCTCCTGTCTTTATCATTTCGCAAAAAAATTGTAAATATAAACCTGAAACATTGACATCTATCCATACAGTATATTAATATCTGTAACCTCACATATGTGCATGAATAAATACTGAAATATTGACAAGTTGACATTAAAATAAAAGTACATTGCTTCAGAAAAGTTCACACCACAGTGTATTTGTAATGTTTAATGCCATTCTCTTATGATATACAATGATTACAAACATAATCAGTCGCAATTATGTTGCTAAATTTGAGCCCCACTGACCAGAGACCATATACCGGTACATGGTCTCTGCCACTGGCGTACTTTTAAAAAATATTTGTTCAAATTCTATCATGTATCTGATCACAAATTATTGAAGGTATACACTTACCTTAAAAATTATCTTGTTCAAACTCAAATTAATTCAAAAACAACTGCGTTGCAGTAACCAGACTGAAACGTGCGTCAATGCACGGGGACGTTGAGAAGCACAGGCGTCGCCTTTTCCTGAATCTGTGCTGGCTGTTTACAATTGTACACACGAATCACAAACCGACAGGTGCCTGCTTGACCGATCTAGAACAGGCCTGTGTAACCATGTCAACACATTATCTCCGAGAGACAGTGAGGTAGCTGGCAGATACGACAGATGTAACCTAAAACTGATATTAATACGTACTGCTCTTGCTATTTATCTCTCAATGAAATAATTCTCGCGACTCGCCTCGTTTCCTGGTTCAAGGGCGAATTCGACTGACAGGTCGCTGTCTTCAACCTTGACATTGGTGTTTCCGTATATTGATCGTATTCATTTCTAATCTAAGATATGTTAAAATATTTTTCTGCATTTTGGAATTCAGGCAGAACCACATAAATATCATTGTAGAAAATCGGCGTTATCAAATTGGGTAGCACACACGGTTGATAGTAGCTCTGGCATTTATCTGGACATGCAATACAATCTACTGGAATCCTTGAATAGACGCGAAGACATCTAATTATTTCAGAGACATTCGGCGTATATTCAAGTCAGGCGTCTGTTTTGTTAATTATGTTAAACATTTATGATTTCCATGTATATAAAGATTATAATACAAGGGTGTGTGTCATATTGATTTTACGAAACGAGTGTCAGAATTCTTGTATTTCCCAATCGAGAGCGAGGGTAATACATTAATTCTTACACGAGTTTCGAAAAATCAGTATGGCACACCTGCTAGTGTAATCATTTCTTTATTACCCATTATTTCTTAATCCTTTTGAGCTCCACTTTAGAAGTATGCTCTGATCTCAGAAAACCACAATTGTCGAAAGACGGCAAAATATATATTCAGCTATGACGTCGATTCTAGTGTGACGTCATTCTGATCTTACGTCACAATAAGATTCGAATGACGTAAACTATGCACATGTGCGCGTGAAGTAATATATGCACAAGCGCTTTACGATTTTTATGAACTCGGTTATTTCTAACGCGATGGTTAATAAATGATATAATCCTGTTTGGAATCTCATATATGAGTTGACCTAACTTACTGTCATATGTACTCTTCAATTATTGGAGGAAATAAAGAATGTCTGTCTGTCATAATATTATCTAATTGTCACATACAAGTTTATCACCGAAGTAATTAAACGATTCTACCCTAGTTTTCAAACAGTCGCAATTAAGACATTCAAATAGAAATAGATCTGTTATGGTTTGGAAATAGAGCCGTATTTAAATATAACTTTTAAACTAAACATTTATAATTAAATCCATTCACCATAAATGTTACATAATTAATATGATAAAAATATTAGATTATAAGTTAAAATCTATATATTATTTGGATAACTAATACATATTGAACGACTGTTTTTATGGAATTCCTACACTTTAGAGGTTTTGTCTGAATATGGCAATGGTTCCTCCATTCGCAATTCTTCACATAGACCTTTGGCTTTGAAGTATGTTTGTTTTGTTTGTTTGTTGTTTAACGCCGCACCCAGCAATATTCCAGCTATAAACGGCAGCTTATCCGGGTTTCCGTACATGCATATATAACATCTTTATATATTGATCCGGACATGTACATATGATGTGACACATTTGTATATATTCAGAGCCGCGAAGACCCGGGTAGAGAATAGGTCTTCAGCAACCCATGCTTGCCGTAACTTTACTGCATCTACCGACATTGGTTTAGGATACCGTTGGTAAAGACTGTCTTGAAGCAGCTGAGAAGTTATTCTGCGACAAGTATGAATACGAGGGCTGGTCAAACAGTTCTCATCCTGACTAACTATGGACCATAACAACGTGAACTAGACAGTGTATTTCATTGTTTTGGTAGTTCTTTGCAAGTGTGTTAAGATATTAGTAACGGTGATGAAACATGGGTCTACCTCTATGATCCCGAGTCAAAACGCCAATCCATGGAATTGGCACCATTCCACTTCTCCGGTACCAAAGAAATTCAAGCCTTCAAGATCAGGGAAGAAAGTTATGGCCACTGTATTCTGTGATGCAAAGGATGTGGTCCTTGTTGATTACTTGGAAAGCCATAAGATAATCACCGGTGCCTACTATGCTGACTTGCTTCATCGCCTGAGGAATGCTGACTGCTGGAGTTCTACGTTTTCATGACAATACCTATCCTCACACCTCTCGACTTGCAAAGTCTACTGTGCGACAATGTGGGTTCTAAGCTTCCTCACCCTCCATACTCGCCGGACCTGGCACTAAGTGATTTCCACCCGTTTCCTAAACTGAAAGAACACCTTCGTGGAAAGCGCTATGACGACAACGATGACCTCAAAGCTTCTGTGAATGTTTTTTTCAGGGAGGCTACAGATAACTTTTTCCTGACTGAAATTCAAAAGCTTCACTATCGATATGAACAATGTATTGAAAAGCAGGGAGATTATGTTGAAAAATTAAATTAAAAACACTTTCACAATTGTTGGTTTTGTTTGTTATGCTCAGAAATTTTGTCCAGCCCTCGTATAACGTCTTTCCTCAAAATGCAAACAATTCAGAGTAAATTTCATGGTTCCAATTCAAACCTTTGACTAGTAAGCAGTAAACATCATTGGATTTTGAACGCATGTTGCATTAGACCGCAAATAAACTGACTCATACATGAAATGTATATTTTGTGTATGTATTTCATGTCCTGGGGCGGTCGGGTAGCCTAGTGGTTAAAGCGTTCGCTTGTCACGCCGAAGAACCGGGTTCGATTCCCGACAGGGGTACAATGTGTGAAGCCCATTTCTGGCGTCCCCCGCCGTGATATTGCTGGGATATTGCTAAAAGCGGCGTAAAACCATACTCACTCCCTGGGGCGTGTTTCTTTAATACACAATTTACTATGCTACTAAGTGCTGCATAATGTATAAATATAATCAGACACGCTTTTGTTGTAAACTAAATTCCAACCCGTTGATAATTAGCGTTACGAATACCAGTACAAACAACATTCTAAATTTCAATTATTCGAATCTCGTTGGTTATCTAAAATAGATTTGTGTCTGATATCTCTGACTGAATCCGATAATTAAAGTATATATCTGTCTTTGCCATTATAATAATCCCCCATACTATCAATACATATATTAGCGATAGGGTTTCATTTGACAATCAAAACGAGCTGGGAAACCATATCTATGTATAGCGAACATAAACTTTTGCAATAAAGCCACGCAGTCTTACCATCCAGCTACAATAGCTTGATATCACATTATACATGTGGAATAGTCACGGGATCTGACTTTGCGTGGATGGAATATACATGATCATAAAAGGACTAACACGTGCTCTGTATTGGACATAGTTTTGGTAGATCTTGGCTAATGGGGTCTTTATGGACCGGAATTGAAACCATTAATGACATACGCTAAATAAATGTTATTTATCTTCTAGGTGATTGCATATATCTCCAGAAAGCACGGGGCCATGATTGGTGAATGGTTGGTGCTGGGCAAGTCAAAAGCCAGGGAAGGGTCAGACCTTTCAGACATGTCCCTACATCTAGCCAGGAGCCAGAACGGGGGCTTGACCTTCGAGTCATTGCCCTACATCTAGCCAAGAGCCAGGACGGGGGTATGACGTTCCAGACATGACACTACATCTAGCCAAGAGCCAGGACGGGGGTATGACGTTCCAGACATGACACTACATCTAGCCTAGAGCCAGGATGAGCTCTGGCGTTCCAGACATGACACTACATCTAGCTAAGAGCCAGGACAGGGGTCTGACGTTCCAGACATGACACTACATCTAGCCAAGAGCCAGGACGGAGGTCTGACCTTTAAACATTAACCTACATCTAGCCTAGAGCCAGGACGGGGGCATGACGTTCCAGACATGACAGTACATCTAGCCTAGAGCCAGGACGGGGTCTGACTTTCCAGACAATGCCCTGCATCTAGCCTGGAGCCAGTACGGGGTCCGAGCTTCCACACATGGCCCTACATCTTGCCTAGAACCAGGACGGGGATCTGACCTTCCAGACATAACCCTACATCTAGCCTAGAGCCAGGACGGGGATCTGACCTTCCAGACATAACCCTACATCTTGCCTAGAACCAGGACGGGGATCTGACCTTCCAGACATAACCCTACATCTTGCCTAGAACCAGGACGGGGATCTGACCTTCCAGACATAACCCTACATCTAGCCTAGAGCCAGGACGGGGATCTGACCTTCCAGACATAACCCTACATCTTGCCTAGAACCAGGACGGGGATCTGACCTTCCAGACATAACCCTACATCTAGCCTAGAGCCAGGACGGGGATCTGACCTTCCAGACATAACCCTACATCTAGCCAAGAGCCAGGACGGGGATCTGACCTTCCAGACATAACCCTACATCTTGCCTAGAACCAGGACGGGGATCTGACCTTCCAGACATAACCCTACATCTAGCCTAGAGCCAGGACGGGGATCTGACCTTCCAGACATAACCCTACATCTTGCCTAGAACCAGGACGGGGATCTGACCTTCCAGACATAACCTTACATCTAGCCTAGAGCCAGGACGGGGATCTGACCTTCCAGACATAACCCTACATCTTGCCTAGAACCAGGACGGGGATCTGAGCTTCAAGACAATGCCCTACATCTTGCCTAGAACCAGGACGGGGATCTGACCTTCCAGACATAACCCTACATCTAGCCAAGAGCCAGGACGGGGATCTGAGCTTCAAGACAATGCCCTACATCTAGCCTACAGCCAGGACGGGGATCTGACCTTCCAGACATAACCCTACATCTAGCCTAGAGCCAGGACGGGGATCTGAGCTTCAAGACAATGCCCTACATCTAACCTACAGCCAGGGCGGAGGTCTGACCTTCCAGACACAACCCTACATAGCCCTACATCTAGCCAAGAGCCAGGACGGGGGTATGACGTTCCAGACATAACCCTACATCTAGCCTAGAGCCAAGACGGGGATCTGAGCTTCACGACAATGCCCTACATCTAGCCTACAGCCAGGACGAAGTCTGACCTTCCAGACATGACCCTACATCTAGCCTACAGCCAGGACGGGGTCTGAGATTCAAGACATGATCCTACATCTAGCCTTGAGTGAGTGATTTGGGTTTAACGCCGCTTTTAACACTATTCCAGTTATATCACGGCGTGTCAGCTTAATGTGGGAGGAATGTCCGAAGTGATGCAGGTCTCGGACGTTTACCACTTCGGTGAAACCAACGAGCACGGGTATGGTGCTGGCAAACCTAGAAACATAATCGGGGCGAACCAGGATTCGAACCCACGATCATAGGTTTCCGGCGTGTCCAAGGGACGCAACTCTCCACAGCGAATTGCGGCGCCTTAGACGACTGGGCCACCCGTGCCCCCTCTAGCCTTGAGCCAGGACGGGGTCTGATCATCCGAGGGCCTCCTAAATGATATTAGACTATCAATATACAATGTTGCAAAAGACAAATCTGCAGATCTTCCAATCTCAGCGCTGCTCTGACAAGTTTGCATCGACAGTCTGACTCGGGTGGTTACCTGGATTTTGTTCTGGGAAGATAAAATGGCGACCAGCGTCGCGTACAAAGTGTAAAACGAGACACGCCAGTTTGTTCTCACGGAATTACCGTGACCCTCGCTCCCAAGGACAACGTTTACTGACGTTCAAACCGACATGGTGATCCCACCCCACCCCATTAGTGAAACAACACCCACCATACCTGTCGAGTTGTCCAACGTTGACTCGGAAACTCATCTATAGCCCTGTTTGGGGTTGGCGATGTATATAATCTGTTAGAATCTCGAGGAGACGATCGGGGCCTCCTGTTCAGGGTCGATCGTGTTTTGTTTGTCGACATCTGTTCCACAATTGCGTATACGCGACACCTTAAGTGTATTGAATATACATGTACGATACGCCATCTGAATACACACATACCCACTTTTACTCACACATACCGTATTTCCTCTATTAGACAGCGGTACTCAAATACACGCCGGACTCTAAATGACGCCGAGTCACACGCTCTTTTAAAAAAAATAGAAGCCGGTGCAGGAGGCCCAACTCAATCCCTGGCCCAAATCACTCTACAGTGACTTGGGCAGAGACTGAGATCACTCTTGAGTGTGTTTGGCCTTGGCTGAGGTGGTTCATGGATTATTTACCCAAGTCCCGTAAAATCTGTTTTGTGTTTCTTATATGTTCCCCATTTAAAAAGTAGAATAGATTTTCTAGTTTTGTAACATAGTTTTCTGAAGGTTTGCTCAATTAGTTGAAATATTGTGACACTCAATATGCTTACCACAGGTGTGCTTGAGAGACGTTCAAAAATATTGAAAACAGCAATGGTGATCAATCTCACCCTGGCGCACACTAGTCTCATGTAAGAAAAAAGCAGAATATTGTAAAGATACTGTGATTTAATTTGTAAAGACAATTGGTTTGGATTCTTAAATACTTGTTATTATTGCTTCCTGTTGCCATAATATACTCAGGCTGGTTAGTGTGTATACATAGTGTAACCTGCCGCGATTAAATAATATTTGACAAAAACTATCAAATGAAACCACGCAACTTTCTGCAAGGACATTAGATGCAATTTATGTTTAAAAACTCAGTTACCTTTTCTTCTACCGATTTTAAATGCCAGTGAGTGAACTCTACAAAACACACTTGCTAGTGGTGCGAAATTGACGTAAACTGAATTAGTTTCAATTTACGCAAGAAATCAAGAATATTTAAATTGGAATTAAAAAGTGTAACGTTTTCTCCTGTTTCTGTTTATCTTAAAAATCGTTTAGTCCCCGTTTATTTTTGTCCTTCTACTTTAAGTGTTGTTTGATAGGCATTACTTAGAAGTTGACGGATGACACAATTTTATGGATAACAAATTCTTTAATAGAGTATTAAAGAAGTTGTTATCCATAAAATTGTATCTATCTTGTACTTTTAGTGTGGAGCATCACATTCTCTTTAAAATTAGAATCGTACATGTGAATATATTTATATGCATCGTCTTTATAATATATATAATAATTTGAATCACGTTACATGTATAGATACTCAGTTACTATGTGCGGCGTTAAACAAAATATAATACTAATGGAAGTTCGCTTAATGTGGCGAATACGGTAGCCCCACTGAAGCAGCTGTTGGTCACGTTGCAGGCATCAGACATCAAACGAGGTAAACAGTTCTGTTGGTCACTAACTGTATTCATGACTGTCTGTTTTATGAAATTTCAATAAAAGTGTTAAGATAATGCAGAAATGCATTCCCTGTGAAAGGGTATTTGAGCAGGTTTAGTTATCACCTACTGGTTTATGTAGTTATACATTCGTGGTATTATTTCTAGATAACAGCCTCATTTGTTTCTGAAGAAAGTCGTATATATGTCAGAATTAGCGTTCACCAAACGATAATGGTTGTAAGAGGCGACTTGAATGGGTTGTCGGCTTCATGTCTTTTGATATCAAATATATCAAGGGGGCACGGTGGCCAAGTCGTCTCAGGTCGCCGTGCAGAGTTACGTCCCTTGGGCACTCCAGAAATAATTTTGACTGTTGGTTCGAAATCCGGTTCGTCCCAATTGTTTCAAGGTTTGTCAGCACCATACCCTTGCTCGTGGGTTCACCAGAGTAGTAAACGCCTTTGACCTGCATCACCTTAGGTTTCCCTCGGACATTAAGTTGACAGCAATAATATAACTGGAATACTGTTAAAAGTCGGCTTAAAGTCATACTCACGCACTCAAACATATCAACACTGGTCAATAAAAGTTTATAATTACGAGTCTTGATATATTTGATGTATCAAAAGAAACAAGGTGAGATTCTTTTTGTCATCCAAAATCATTCTTCCAACTTTTTCATTTTTTTTAACAGAAGGAAGTAGTGTAACAGATAAAACTCACCAGCTTCAGTTGCAGAGAGGTAAGTGGTTTCCTTGGAGATCTCAGCATGAACAGCAGCGTGACTTGTTCTTGTGGTTACCCTGACTGGCAAGGACTGGTGGGCTCGGAGTCAGAATTCTCTGAGTGGGGGTATCTAGGGGGGTAACTGCAGCCTCTTCACTCCATTCACTATGATGCTTCTTGAAATGATGTGATGCTAGTTCAAAACAGAAGTGACCTTTCCCTTGTCTCACAAGAGTGAAAAAAATTATAATAAACAAACACAGAAAAATATTTAGATGTCTTTATGACAGAAACTGTGTCCAAAGTGTACAGAAATTATGTAAACTGTTGCATCTGTCCCATCTCTAGTAACAACATACCCAGTTTCACACCGAGAACAAAACACAAACACAGACACAATCATTTCAGGTAGCACCTGACGAGGAGAGTATTAAGCTTCAATCCACCCAGTATCAACGCTTCTCTGGAATAATGCCCTATACAGTTTCACTATCAAGTTTACACTGGGACCACATTTCAATTTATGATTTACAGACCTTTGTAAAACAACAAGAAACATTCAAGCGGCACCATTTCAAATTATTAATCTGTCAAATGACAGGAAATAAATTATTCATGTTTATGTAACAGATGTATTTCAATGGATCCTTTTTAAAATTAGAAAATACAAAAGACTTTAGCAGGAATAATTCTGAGATCTTAAGTATCAACACACAGTGAACCTGTTCCCTTTAACACTGGTAGAACTGCAGTAAAATCATTCTAAAATGAGTCAGAAATGCTAACACCATTGCAACAGCTGGTCTGCCATTGTTTATTATGGAACCACATCTGCCCAAAATCAAACACTAAAACAATTCCAATCACATCCGGGACAAACACATAAATAATTTATTTAATCTGAAACAATATTGTTCAATCAAGAAGTGTAGTACATTATTTGCACATACTTTGTAATCAAGGTAATTTCTTGATAATTCCACACGCTGGTAATGCACTTGTGAACACAAATTTAGCTGAAACGATACACCGATATTCCGATGCATCACGATACTTGACCCACGATACGATATACATAAACGTGGGCCCATTTATCGATACGCCTTGATACGGAATGCAAATCTCTAGTACAGCGTTTCTTCGCTATTGTGCCTTTCAATAAACCGCTAACTTGGTTATGGCGCGCTATTATTCAATACCATTATTATACTATCTTGTTAATAAAACGTGTTCATTGTATATCTGGACTTGTGTTTGGAATTACTTTTATTCAAAATTTCATTTAATATTGTTTGCCGTAAGTTATGTGAAATCGTGTGTGAAGAGATACAGCAACCACGGTCAGATAACCGCTTTTGACGCATTGAAACGAACTTTAGTTGCTAGAGAATGGATACATATATTAAAAATGCCATACTTTGACTCGTTAAAAGTCATATTTGTGGCAATTTGGCTAATATATGTCACAACGTTTCGCAATCGAAATACATGTAGCACGGGAAGTCCCTAGGGTGACTGGTCAAATTGTTCCATACGTAAAAATATCCTGCAACAGCAATCATCAGTACCAAAATGCTACACTTGTGGTTCTTATAATTTTAAATAAATATATAGAGAGTAAAAGCTGCAACTAAGGTAACATGATATTGGAATATATAATTCCTGATAAAACAATAATTTCAGATACAATTTCTTCGACCATTGCATCAAAATTCTTTGAAGTTGTATCACTGGTGGAGTACATTAATTATTTTCTGGTGTTTCAACTTTGAATTGTTTTGAAGGAAAGTTAGAGAAAGTTCCACTTTGAAGCTGAACAACTTCAGTAGTCATGTTATTTTAAAATAATTTTGACTGTTCCAAAATCATGTGGGTTCAATCTTGACATGCTTTAAGTCTTGTTTTTTTTTATCATTGCCTATCGAGATACATATCGTATCGTGATCAGAATGTTGAGATGCGTATTGTATCGTGACCTTCCTGTATCGTTGCAGCCCTAATCAACAGACAAATCATAAGTATTGCCACCAACACAAATTACTGTCTTGCAGTCTGATGAATTTTGATTATTGTTGTTTAGCAGCAAGAGCTCCCAAATGGTGTTGGGGTAAGATGAGTGATGCCTCGTCAGCAGTGTCTGGATTATGATGGCCTGCAGAGCAGGTTTGGACCCGGTTGAGGCAAACCAATGATTTCAACCATTTTTTCAAGATCATTCATCCAAAATAATAATAATAATAATCCATTCTTATCCGCCATTTTAGCCAAAATGATACCCATTGGTTACATAGTACCAATTTTGAGCTATAATACTCAGGGGTGGGGAAATAAGTATGTTAGACTGTTTAAGAAGTACATTACAATCATCTTAGCGCTAAGATCACTTTGTGGAACAGGTCCCTGGTCACAACAGCCAGGGTGGACTGTATTTGGGACAATGCAGAGATTAAAACTATGTATCTAGATGAAAGTAGGTACAACAACTCATTGAACACATCAATAACTTCTTCCCATTCCCTTTAACAAAAATCTTGGATAATACAACAGTCACCAATTCATGGCTTGTAAAATGTTCTGACAACAGTTCCTTTATAAGGTCTTGTAACCATGGCAATATTACAATGGGCATTGTCTAATGTGCATATTGGTCTGAACATGCAGATGATATTATGGAATAGATTCTAGGTAATCGCCAAAATTTACACACAATACCTTATGAATCATTAACACCAAGGCATTTTCACAAGGAAAACAGATTCACTGCTGTATGAGTGAGTGAGTAGGGTTTTAAGCTTTTGGTATCTGAATGATGGCAGGGGACACTAGAAATGGCTTCACCCATTATACCCATGTGGGAAATCGAGCCTGGCTGTCACCTTTACGAGCAGAAGCTTTACCCACTGCCCATCACTGCTGAATATGTCATCTGCATGCAGTTTATGCAACCTGGAAAAATCCACTGCCTGCTCATCTATCAAACATTACATTCATGCTGCTCAAAAGACAACCTAACCTTGTAACACACAAATTACTCCTATCTTAAGGTCAAGGTTTTTAAGTTTACTTCACTTTCTAAAAACAAATTTAAATCGGCGAACCACATGTTAATTTTCTCATGATGAACCAAGAGATAATTCATTTTGGCATACACTGTTATCTTCCCAGTGCCTGCTGGGTGAATGCATTGCCTCTGGAAAAGGAAGGCCAATAAAAACAACTTGAAACTGTCAAAGACAAATTACCAGTATAATTTCGAACTAATAATCTTCATGCAAAAGCACTGTCTAACCCTAATCTTCCTAACACAGGGATAAATAAACTGACTACTTGGATCATAAGGTATGACAGTTCTGTTGCCAACATTCACATGTTAGTCCAATAATCCAAGTATATGAAAACGTCCTATGATCTCACATGTCATGCCAACAACTTAAATACTTGTATTATACTTAAATTATTTCTGAATATTTTTTTAACACTCTTTTGAAGGATTTGATATTCCAAAATATTTGAATAGAAAGAACATCCCACAGCTTGGAACAAACAGTTGCAGCACTGTTGAATGCACTAAAGTTCTATAAAGGACTGTCCAACCCTGTTCTTCAAACTCAACATTATGACATAATTTTTAAGTGAAACCTTTTGCTCTTAAGTGATATGAACTGCCTGGCATACATTCATCTGGAGGCAATACCATATGTTAAACTAGCCAAATATACATTCACCCATCCTTCAAGTGTTACCAGGTGTGCTGTTTAATGTGAATCAGTCACTTGCTAACCCTTCATGCTCTATATCAAACTGCCCAGGCCTTTTATTTGGCAAAAAATAACTTGTTAATGTTGACACAATTCAACATTTCAACATTGCGTTAATGTTGCTTCAAGAGTTTACCTCATCCAAAGAGATATCAACAGAGGCACCTATTTGTAAGACTCAGTGCCTCCTCCAAATTAACACTGTCAAGACCTCCGCAAAAAAATCAAAGCAAAAGAACCTTCCTTTGTGACAGATGTGTTGGAATCAGTGAGGCACACACTTCACAACACCTAAAGAATTGAAATATTAAAACATATCACATTTCATGGGTGTCATGTTTATCAAAACTAAATGATGCAAATATATGCAAAATACTAAAATTAAGCGACGTCCTGAGAAAAGTGACAATAGTTTTGTCTAAACCAGCCAATCAGGTAAAGTTGTACAGATCAACTTGATGAGTGAGTGAGTGATTGGGTTGGGTTTAGCGTCACTATTAACAGTTTTTCATTTATATCACAGCATGTCAGCTTAATGTGGGAAGAAAGCCCAAAGTGATGCAGATCTCAGACGTTTACCACATTGGTGAAACCACAAGCATGGGTCTGAAGCTGACAAACCTAAAAACATAATTTATGAAGTGAAACAGAAGAATGAAGGCTGACATTTGTCCAAAAAATCTGAGTTCAAGTGATTTATATCATATCAAACCTTTAGTACATGGTAATTTCTTTAAACAGTAGGTGACTTGAAGGTTCAAATACCCCATACACAGCTAGACCACAAGGTGAAACCAAACTGTAAATCACAATGAATAAAAAAATAAACTGATGCTTCCAAACACTTCTCAAAAACAGCACGCAAAATGCCATCAGTCATAAAAATAATGGCAAATTAACAAGAATATATTTCTGTGTGAAACTGATAAACACATTTATGGCTTATTGCCACCAAATGAACCCCAGTTTATCTTGACTCTTTGAAACCACCCACCAACTACACTTATCACAGGGGTACATAAAGTTTGCGACTACCAGTTGTCGGACTTCCATTTTGTGGAAACCTCGTTGGCTGAGTGGGTTAGTTGGCTGACTTTGTGTGCTGGCGATTAGGTGCCTTACTCTGAGATTGTGTGTTCGAAAACCCAGATAGGACTCCACCAAAATAAGTGTAATCCAAAATATAACATTACAGGTTTTGTTAATCCTTGAATTTGTTAGGCCTAATATAATATATTGTTGATGTTCCAAATTACACTTAATTTCAAAATACCACTACCATTTTTTAAAAAAGAACAAACTCCAGCTATGATTGAGAAATACTGTAAACTTGTGTTTATATATTTTCTATATACCAGTATTTCTATATATTGTATATATTTTCATGTGTGTTTTTTGTGTGTCCAAAACAGCAAGTATCACTGCAAAAATGTTACGGTTGGCATCTTAAATGAGGTTGGTCTGTGAATGAGACCATAAGACTCAGGCCTTAATCCTGATTTCACTGAGAACAGGGTTATACTATATGGCATACTGAGGATGTGGATTTAACAATGCCCAAACTGACAGTGTAAAGTCTCCCAAGCATGTTAAGAAATTATCTCTCTTAGTAAATGTTGCTGATTGTGGCTGAATTGTGGTTGTGACTCATATGAATTGTACATCCTAAATAAGTGTGTGATGATCCCCGAGTACCTGGACCTGTGGACCATGGTGTGCTCATTATGACAGACATGGTTAAAGGTTAAAATCAGATCTAGTGATTGTAATCATAGGAACAAGTGAAAGATTCAGATCTGAATCATAGAACACATGGTGAAGTCAACATTGTGGAGGATGGTTAAAAAGTTCCAGATTTCTTAACAAGGTATTGCAATATCTATCCAAAAAGATATTATAGACAAAAGACAAGTTTAATTGAATTTAACAATGCATCATGCTGCTTATGTCCTGAATGGTTGTCCATGTGAAAAATGTTTAAATTTGTTTTATTAAAGCTTTTTACAGAGACCAGGCCATGCTGTCATTAACTGCTGATGTAACTGCTGGCTTATCTGCCAAGGGAACCTTCATGCAATGGCAAGTCTATTTACAGAAGACCACGTGAGATACAGTGATGACAATCAATTTCTATTTGACAAAAATCAAACACCCCTTGTCCAGCTGTGTTTGTATAATCTATTATTTCAGGAGGGTGAATTTGGAAAAAACTTCTTTTCACTTTCTAAATAGTAAGTCTTGATATTGTTGATGCTATTCCACTGCCAGGTGTTCAGTCATATGAAAACAGTGTGAAAGATAAAAATTTCCAAGGAATACTGCTTGTGTTATAAAACAGTTGACTAGCTCTTGCTGATTTTTCCTTTTTCAAAACCTGCATGTTCCCATGTGAATATGTCTGGGATCCATCTCATTAATCTGGCTGACCTTAACATAAATAAATAAATATCGGGGAGGTATGATTCACAGATACACAGATGCATATGATACAGTAAGTTTTAATACGACCATTGCATCAAACCGTGCCCAGTATATTTTAGTGTATCACTAAGTTTAGTTTTATCATTTAGAGTCTGTCATCATTTTTTGTGCATTTTCAACCAAAATACATGAACCATGGACCAACAATAATCTAGTTTTATATTAATCATTGATTGTGTCATTATCACCCAAACAAAGTTTTGCAGGGTATATAGAAACATGTCTTATCTCAGACCTAGTTTGTTTGTTGTTTAATGCCGCACTCCGCAATACTCCAGCTATATGACAGTGGTCTGTAAATAATCAAATCTGGACCAGACAATCCAGTGATTGACATCATAAGCACTGACCTATGCAATTGTGATACGATGATATGCATCAACCAAGTCAGTGAGCCCAACCACGGAAGTTGCTTTTTGGACAAGCATGGGATGCTGAAGACCAATTCTAACCCGGATCTCCACAGGGGCCCAGTCATAGAAAATATGCCAGTAGACAGATACAGGGCAAGTTATCTTAGCACTAGGACTACTGCAAGTATCAGAGTCATGACAAGTCAGTTCCTGTATCTCTGCATCTGATATCTCATCAAGAAATTTGGAACATTTCTACCACCCTCATTGGGAATACAAGCACATCAACTTGACTTGGGATCCGTTCCACAAATCAATCGTAGTGCTACAGGTATCTTAAGTCCATGATAAGGTACGGGACTCATGATCGTCTTAGCATGCTTAGTACTACAATCACTTTGAGGAATGGATCACTGGTCAGAAGTAGCGCCAGTCCGTATGACTATCATGAAATACAAAATATCAATAAATAACATAAATGACAAAGAGAAATAATCCAGTGAACATGTGTGATCAATTGCCTCAACAAGTTATGCCATAGGATATGTATTAACGTCAGAATGATGGTCGGATCAAGGCAAATGAATAGACCTCATTAGGGACTGACACAGTACACCAGACTCTAAGCAAAGAGGGAACTAGGATATTTCTACCAGAAATCTTATTTGGTTGCAATCAACACAACGAGGATTCACAACATATTTGTATTTAAAAAAATATATCACATCAGGTCAGTGAGAACAAAAATGCATTTTATATTGTGTTAGTTGCAAATGATTATGATAATTGCAACAGTACAACTTGCCTTCTGACATGATTTGATAGAATTTATTTTTTAAATTAAAAATACATAATGAATCCTGGATCATATCTGGCAATCTACAACATACTACTCAAAATTAGAGAGGGATACTGGGCTATTGCAGCGTTAGAATCAAACAGTTTTCGTCCACTAGTCCCCATAATGATAACATATAGCAAAACCCTTAAAAAGGGCAAATTTCTACCAGTCCTTATAATGCAGTTTGGCAAGGACTAGTGCCAATTTCTTCCGCTGCTATTGCATACTGTCATGTAACTAGAGGACAGCACCTGGCGTACATTAATCTGTTAATTGTGCACTTGCTTTCATTAACTTTAAATGATTGCTTGGGATATGGGATACTAATTGCATGACATCATCTTCTAGCAACCATACACACACATTCAGGTCCCACATTCAGAATATCCCTATCAAATGTTGAGTAATATACTATACAAACTATTTGACACTGCTAGAATATATGTCCAGGAAAATCCCAGGCTTTCCTGTCTCCAAGAGATACAATGTTCAGTCCCTTAGACTCGAAGAACGTTTACTGTGACAACATTTAGTTATCACTTTATTATAAAAATGTTGCACATTGCCACATTCTAAACTATCATGAATCATAGAATACCTTCATGATTGAAATAAATACATAAATATGTTTTTTCACTTCACAGGTAAAAACTTTAAGAAACATTTAAAAACAGCTCCTTGGAACAGAAATTCTTAACATGCTAAAACAAATCATTGCATCATTATGATTAGTATTCTTATTATCCATTTATTCTTAAAAATCATTTCTATATGGTTGAATTTCAAATGAAAACGAAATAATAGAAAGCAATTGCTTTGTTTTTTAAGGTATTATTTTCTTGACAAAATTGTATAAAATACACTTTTTAAAATCCTTTTTAACTATCACAATATGACATAATGTGATGCATTCCAGATTGATTTCTTAAAAGAACCCTGTGTCCAGGTATCTACACATCTAATCAAAATCTATGTCTATGTGCTGAGCATATCTCTCTGTGCCTGAACACATTCACTTTCTAATGGTGACACAGTGACGAAAACATTCCCAACACTTCTACACACACCCTTCAAAAATTGTCATGACATGGCCATCTTCCAAGACTAGTGATAAAACTACACTAAAACTCTTCAAAGTGTATAAAGAAACCTAGCACTGTTCAAAAATGTCCGAAGCACTTCAGTTGCTCACAATTGCTGTGCCTCCACTTTAGGTGCCTCTGTTTCAGCTTGCTCTGGAATCTGAGCTTCACTGGACACACTAGTTTTCCTGACATACCCTTCAAGGTAGCTCAGCCTTGGGGGGAGGCTCATCCGGTTCCACGACTGCCTGCGGAAGCTGGGAGGGTTGTCATCCTTAACAGTCTGGTTGGAGAAGTTCAGGTTGAGGAACTCAATCTGTTCGTCATCAATCATCGGACCAGCACTTGCAATGCTTTCCGTGTCCGAGCTGTCTTCATGGTACGAGGACATATCACTTGTAGAAGGAACTCTCAGAGCACGTTCACTACCAGGGGTTCCTAATTCTTTGGAACTTGGCACAGCCCTAACCGGAGTTCCTTCAGATTGAGATCTGGAAGAGATGGATTTGGTGACCGGTTCTGCAGAAGGTTCAGGGACGTTGTCGGCAGGTGTATCTTGAGCGCTGGGGGGGTAATACTGAGGCGGTGTGCTACTTAGAGAGTTGGGTCGGGAGGAATAAACCCTTTGAAGGGGGTCCATAGATGGGTCAATACGTAAAATCAGCCCTTGCAGCTTTGGTGATTTCCTAGATGTGGAAGGAGAGCCACTTACTGGACTATTTCCTCCTTCAGGTGTGCTAAGGTTAGAGTGGTAGTTCTTACTGAGAGGGTGGTGTAACACCCCTTCAGTGTGTGATCTTATCCCTGCGATAGCAATCGGTTGAGACCGCTGTCTTTCAGACAGTCCATCAGTGGCATCACTTGTGGCCTTTTGTACCTTTTGAGATTCTTCTTCAGGTGATTTTTCATCAAGGGCAGTAGATGATTGTGCGTCTTGAAATACTTCTTCATTCTTCTCCTGTTTCACGTGAGCTCTCTGCATCACAATCCTCCCTCTCGGGGAATGTGTGTTTGGGAGATTCATATACTCCTCATCGAGACTAGGCGTGTCAAAATTTTCATCATAGTCTGCTGAACACATACTATCAGTTGAAGGACTCATTACCTGACTAGAGTCAATAGCTTGACGATAACTGTCTGTCCTGGCCTTGTCAGCAGTGGGATGTATCACTGATGGAAAGAGAAAGTCTTTTGAAGTATCCTCCATTTGTAGCTCAACTTTTGATTGGCTAAGAGTGTTCATGCTCTGTGTGGCATCACTTGAGCTGACGGTTATTGTGGTGAGAGAGACATTAGAGCAACTGCTAGTGTGGGGGGTAACACTGCCATCGATGTGAGGGGAGCCGTTGTCCCATGATGGGGGTGGGGATGGGTCTTCAGCTCCCACCCCTGCACTGCGCACGCCCAGCTGTTGTTGTTTTCGCCGCTCAAGACGCTGGCGGTGGATTTCATCGCTGATTGCCTCTAGACTATGAAGAGCCTGTGAGTACAGGGCCTTGGATGACGCCACATCTTCCTCCAGACGGCTCACGTTAATTTTCTGTTCCTGAAATATGAATGTCAAACTATTTGTCAACAAAGTAAATAAGCTGCATATTTGCATAAAATAAGCAACATAAATAACCATTCCCCAATTAATTTTGAGTTGGTTGCGTAAAAATATGCATGATTTGTTTGTTTAATGCGCACTCAGCAATATTCCAGATATACCGTACATCGCTGTGTATAAGGCGACCCCACGTATAAGACGACCCCCCTGTACACGCCTTCAAAATCAACCAAAAATCCTATACTCCGTGTATAAGGCGACCTGGAATGAAGCACATCACAAGTGCGCACACAAACCTTATATATGCAATAAAAATATGTTTATCTTGCGTTGTTTCTTCTACGATGATTGGTCGCGTGTGTAACTCCAGCACATGTTGCCATTTTGTGTTTACACGGTACGACACCAAATTGGTGCCCGTAAAATAAAATTCATTTATGAAGTAATAACATATAAGAGACAATGGTGAGTAATTTAATCGCCAATTAATTATGTTGTAACTAACAAGGCTTATATTTGTTTCACATTCAGCGTGTTTATTCCACAAACACTTATTCACACTGTCTCCAACTGTTGTTAATACAACTGTAAAAACAGCAGGAATTGATTTCAGCTTCACTGGTTATCACATGTTAGGTCACATGTGCAATATGCAAATGCTTACCAGTACTTCCGGCTCTCTACTCACGGATGTTGATTGTTTTACCATGCCAGCTGGTTTGACAATCTGCATCGAGGCGAGGGTCATTTCAACTTTATTTGCAGAAATGATTAAACTTTATTCAAGGAAAATAGATACAAATCATGTTTATGTATGGAAATAGTTATTGGAACAGTTATTTAGGACGAAATGCAAAGTTTTATTGTCAAATGCTGGGCTGGCTATCGGACGCCGGTTGACATCGCCAGTGGAAAAAAATGTGAGATCTTCGACTCCATGTATAAGACGACCCCCCTTCTTAACCCCCTCATTTGAGGTACGAAAAACTCGCCTTATACACAGCGATATACGGTATGGCAGTCTGTAAATAATCAAGTCTGGACCAGACAATCCAGTGTTTGACATCATGAGCATTGATCAACGCAATTGGGATACGATGGCATGCATGAACCAAGTCAGCGAGTCTGACCACCCGATCCCGTTAGTCGCCTCTTACGACAACAATTTACAAAACCCAACAGTATAACAAAACTCTATACCCAATTTCATTCAACATGGGTACCTGTATTTCTTTACAGATCTTTTTTACTGATCAGGAGCAGGCATGAGTGAGTGAGTATGGTTTTACATTATGCAGTACTTAGTAGCATAGTAAATTGTGTATTAAAGAAACACGCCCCAGGGAGTGAGTATGGTTTGACGCCGCTTTTAGCAATATTCCAGCAATATCACAGCAGGGGGCACCAGAAACGGGCTTCACACATTGTACCGATGTTGGGAATCGAACCCGGGTCTTCGGCGTGACGAGCGAAAGCTTTAACCAGTAGGCTACCCGGCCGCCCCGAAGCAGGCATGAACTCTACTGCAGTGAATAATATTAATATTATATTCGATATCGATTAATATTCGATGTTGTAAGTTCTGAGACATGTTACACACTTGGGGCTGCAGATGAACATACAAATTATAAGTCACCAGAAATCGCATTGCCAGCAGAGTTATTTTTAAAAAATGTCTACTCAATGGTTTAAAAACATCATACTGACTGGACCAAATAGTTTGTAATATCTGAAGGATGATTAGGATGGGGGTAACTTCCTGGGGTAGCTGTTACTTGACTTTTCAGTGAGATACTGAGATAGATGCTCTGTTGGGAATTATACATTATTTTACAATTGATCAAGAACTTGTGCTATTACTTGTATACGTACAAGGAAAAAAAGTAATGTAGGGGCTCTATGGGGCTTCTGCATTTCTCATAATGATTTTGGATACAAGGTGTTGCTATCAAGGACTGGCAAAGTGCACTGGTGTCTGTTGTGCTATAATATGCCCAGGGGTGTCATTGATTGGAAGGTTTAGTATCATCATACAAACTCAAAGGATAATGATACACTAATATATTGATTAATAACAAAACTAAACTTTTCAAATTGAACTTTCTGCCTTCTTATTTGTCCGTCTTAACCCAGTTAACCTGAACAAATGTTAATGTTTGTTTGTAACAGTATCGATATTCATATATCAAATGTATCAATACAGCATCAATATTAGCAAAGTATCGATACATCGAAATCATGACAAACAATGACACCCTAAATATGCCCTAGACTCCATCCTCTCTTTGTTCAATTAATGGACTGTCATTAAAGAGGATGTCTACTTACTTCCATGACCTGGTTAAACTTGATTTTCATCTCAAAATAAGGTCTGAAACACAGATAAGCATGATGTATAATGATTTGAAGAAAATATGAAACAGTGTCTGTGTTCGTTGTTCATGCCACAGCTATACGACTGGCCTGTAAAAGGCTAGACAGCCCGGTGATTGATATAGTGGGCAACGATCCACATGGTTAGGGTACGTTGACACATCATCAACAAGTCACCAAACTTGACCAGCTGATCCACTAAGTCAACTCTTACGGCTAGTATAAGGTGCTTGGGACTAATTCTGGCACTGGTACCCCTCGGGTATGAAAGATTAATTGGTCAAAAAAAGACAATAAGGTTTAGTGACTCTCCGGACTGTTCTCAGTTGCTGCTGTGGAGATTCTTTAAAACAGACGTATAAGATGATTTACATATATACATATATATTTCATGTTAAATTAATTTACATTTTCACATATTTATTGATCTGTAAGCTGAAAATCATCCACTGCCACCATTTGCCTTAAATTTAGGAATGACATCAAAGGGAGGTAACTCTGGTGTGCATGACCTTACTACTATGCAAAGCCTTAAACAAAGCAGTTGAGTTGAGCAAACAGAATCCCACACACTGCAAACTGTGATAACATGTATACCACTGACAGCATCATGACTAAGTGAAATGTGTTTTTACTAAACAAATAAATCACAAGACATGGACTTGTCTTAACCTTACTAACAATATAGATGTGCCATTCCCAAGCTTATCAAGAAAGTACCCTCACCAAAAGATATCACTGAAAGATAATTCTTCCTCATTTACATAAAAAAGTCTACAAGAAAAAACATCTTTAATATTCTTTTTCAAATTAAAAATGGTTACCACGGTTACATGTAACAACATAGGTACAAAGGTGTTACCATGGTTATATGTCAACAAATGGGGTTCCCGTGTCTCAGAGACACAGGATACAGGGGGGAAAGTTGAGATAACCAGAACATCAGTGAGCAATACAAACACAGTTCATCCGGGTCCGTGGAATAACTAATAGACAACCAGTATTTCAAGATACCCTAACTTAACAAGAGATAATAGGACACTTATTTCAACTGTAGTTAAGCTGTAAAAGATCCCGAGACAATACAAAACTACCCTCTACTTCAAAGCATTTCACAGAACAATAGAAATAAAGAAGGTGAGATGGGGTTTAGCATTGCGTTCAAGATTATTTCACTCATAGTACAACTTGTATGTACATGTTGCTGTTCATACTTGTCCAGACTTAGCCGGTTTTACAGTGCTAGCCCAGAGATACCATGCAGCAGTTTAACATGGATACCCCTCTCAGACACAGAAAACTGACTCCGAGCCATCCAGCCCTTGTTTTAGTCCGTTAATGCCGAGCACCAGGCAAAGTACCATCATTTATTGTCTTTTTGGTATGACACAGTCAGGGGATCGAATCTCCAACCTACTGCTCTCAGGGCAGATGCTCTATCCACTACGCCACACAAGGGTATGTTTTGTTAAAGTGTATGTTTCTGAGACTGGGGATGACATAAATTGCATACAATCATAAAACGACCACTCAACATTATCCACTTTGGACAGGATATAACACATTTCAAAACAACCCTAAACCATAGCTCATCTTTCACCCATGAAGCATTGCAATCAGAACAATTTCATTTGTAGGTGCAAAATAGAGGGGTTTGAAATAAGAATATGGCAGACTGAAGACACACATGCTTTGGGGATAATGCAGGGATTTATTGCAGTATGCAGGAAGGACCTTGGTTGTAGAGTCTGTGTGAACATGCATGGATATCTGTGCACCACTCAATTTAAAGAACATGTCAGTGTCTGTTTGTTGTTTAATGCCACACTCAGCAATATTCCAGCTTTACGGTTTGTAAATAATCAAGTCTGGACCAGAAAATCCAGTGATTGACATTATGAACATCGATAAGATAGGGATACGATCACATGCATCAAACAAGTCAGCGAGGCTGACCTACCGATCCCGTATGTCGCCTCAAGCTAAAGATCAATTCTAACTTCATGGGTAAACATTTGTCAGTGAAAATCAATTATGTGACTGTCTCAGCAGCAGAACAGTTCTCTAAAGCTCATGCAGCGTCAAATTTCTGTCCAGTAATAGAAGCAATTACATGCACAGAACATTTGAAGCACACAAATTTCTATTTCCATACAAACATGACAAAAAGTAAACGAAAAGTAATGCAATATGCAACCAGCATTTCTCCAGTTTTCTATTAACATTCAAAAGCCCTATAAGAAATTTTGTGTGTATTGGTGGAAAATGAGCAAAATGGCCATAACAACTGCTGATCTGCACACAAAAATAGTGAATAACATTACCTGTAGACTTTACACACGCTTGTTACTATCAGCATTAAACAAGTGATAATCTACAGTAATCATGGTAATTCTTTATGTGGAAAGTAGAGGTGTAACGATACGGTGGTGGTCGTGATACGGTACGTATCCCGATACTATAGATGCGATATGAATCTACATACATATATATATGGAAGCTGATTGTCTCTCTAATTGCAGATAAATCACAACCCTGAATTGTTTGTTCTTAAATTTCAGAGATTGAAGATGGGATATCGTAGGCTAGAAACATATTGGTAGAAGGCACTGTGAATATTATGCTACTTATAGCAAACCATGAAATACTAAAGAATCTGCATAAGCTGGTGGCTGAACTGTTTCCGTTATTATTTACATGTTTTTACACCAATTAACTTGTAATGAAATGTATCGTATGTATCACGATACAGGGATCGTAAATCGATGTATTATATCGTGGGCCTCTATTGCGATACAATATTTTATCGCCGTATCATTACACCACTAGTGGAAAGTTGTGAATTATCAGAGACATTTTGCAATATTCGATATGAGAAAAGTCTTTGTAGGGTTGAACGAGCGTGTGTAGAAACTAGATCTGCATACTGAGAGACACAGTGAAGAGAGAGGGGATGTATGTCTTGTCCTACGTCCAATACCCCCTTCACACATCACCTGGGAACCACTCAACACTTACATAAGTGTGCTGTATGTCAACCACAATTTTCTCTATAAATACAATTATCTCATGTCTTTTTCCATAAAGGACAAAACTAATTTTCATGTGTTAGGCACTGAGTTTGTCTCCCTCTGCAATCAGCAATACCAAAGGAAAATATGAATAAATCGAGTTTGGGGCAGGCAACCCAGTGGTTGATAGCACGAGCAACAATTTACACCATCCATTTAGTCTGTACATATATACAAGAACCAAAATCGTTTATTCTACAAGCTAGAAAAAGGCTCCTAGTGAAATTACCAGTAGACTTCAGTGTCTAATATGGAGTAATATTAGCTCAACTTACTACAGAGGGTTGGAAATAAGGACAGGAACAGAACTTTACTAGACTCTGGCTTTGGACTGGTGGCATAAGTCACAGGCTGCAAGAATGAGATACTTGGTACCTATTCTATCCTAGAATCTCCTCAAGGGTGGACAGGTTCATGTCCAATAACAGACAGTATCCCTGTTGTTTCAAACTCACAAGTGTCAGACAGTTTGACTTATGCAGGGTTAAACTCATCTGACTCAACCTTATTCAAATAATAACGGTCTGACTTATCCATCAAACAACAGAAAGCCAACATACCACATTGAGCATGTTATGTAAATGATATTTATATCATAAGAAATGAAACAGATGAATTTGTATTACCTACAATTACAGTATACATCATTATATTGATATCACTGGAACACTATGACACTATATGACTTTGGTGTGATGAAACAACTTATCAGGGTAAGTTTTAACTTTATTTATTTAAAATCTTTGGACTAGAAATTGAGTTCCGAGACAACCAGGAATCAGACACATCTGGGTTAAAATAGTAATAAATATAGTACAAGTTTGCCGGGACTGGACAGTGAATTTGACACAACCAGGGATTTTACACATTTGACAATGAGATTTGATTATATGTACTTGTATGCTACTTTGGCACCAGAACAAAGAACACTGTTGTGGAAGGAACTAATGACATCGCAGATCGCATACTTTCCTGTTGCAATTACAGTACACACTCCAACCTTCCTTATCCGTGACAGTTATTTCCAAAATCACTTGCAACTAGCAAGTTGTTAAACTTTACATTATACGGTCATAATCAGCTTCCCCACTATCCTCCAAGTCTCAACATGTAAGATCTTTCTTCCAACAAGTCTACCATTAAAACTTACGTCCTTGTTGTCAAACGGTCCACGTGGGTGGGTGTTTACATGTGTTATCACGTGTGTTATCATGACGTCATATTGACCTGTCAGATCACTCGTATAATTGAGTGAGTGAGTGAGTTTGGTTTTACGCCGCTTTTAGCAATATTCCAGCAATATCACGGCGGGGGACACCAGAAATGGGCTTCACACATTGTACCCATGTCGGGAATCGAACCCGGGTCTTCGGCGTGACGGGCAAACGCTTTAACCACTAGGCTACCCGACCGCCCGATCACTCGTATAAGCTCCGCCCACTAGAGTGTGGTAGTTCCTACCGCAGATGCCCCTTTAAAGTATTAGCTGTTTATGTTAACTGTTGCACATTATACACTGAATGGCTTCAAAATCAAACAGGCACTTTACTTCATGCATCAAGCAACAAGTTTGTTTGTTTTTTATTTTAAAATAAACAATACCAAATAATTTTATTTACAACATTCTGGCAATGCAAGTATGATAATACTGTACAGTAGAACACGGATATAACGAACTACTAGAGACCAGAGAAATCAGTTTGTTATATCCGTTGTTCGTTATACACGTTTTCGCTCGGAAACGTCCGCCATCTTGGATAAGACAAAACACAATACACACGTAACTGCAGCATTGATTTGTATTAGCAGTGATCATTCAACTGATATCAATTTACAACATTCATTTAATAACATTAAATTCATAACATTTTCTGAAGATTGTTATCAAATACATGTACAAAATTTAAACATATTTATCATTTTTCGATTTACATACGAAATGTGTAGTCTGTGATTTTACTTTGGCCTCGTTTCGCTGACTGCATTCTTGAAACGGCATCGTTCAGATCCGCCAAACTGTCAAAAACTGTTTGTTTTACAGACAAGATTACATGTACAGGTAAGATTAACACAATGCAAATTTAACAAGGTTGATCCGTCACCACTGATTGTATTGATTCGCCGCCATTGTTTTGATTCGCCGCTGATTGCATACAGCCAATTGTCAGTGACACTTGACACTGAGTGAGATTTCTCAGTTCGCTATACACGTTGCTAATAAGTGATAAATGGGCTTGTCGGTGATCAGGTATCAGTTCGCTGTATCCGTTAGTTCGCTATAGAGAGTTTGTTATATACGTAAATTTTATATGATATTATATAGGAGATAAATTGGGGATTTTTTAACAGTTCGTTGTATCCGTTTGTTCGCTATATCCGTGTTCGTTATATCCGTGTTCTACTGTATCTTGCAATCTAACCTACTTATATGTAAGGGGTGGTTGAATTGTGAAGAGAAATAGGTCCAAGGACACTGGCTTATATTCAACATTTCATTAAAAAAAATGTTTAGGTAGGCACTGTTTGAGGACATTATTACCAATTCCAGGACAACTTTTTAACATACGTCTGCAAACATGTTTGCTGGCATATAAAAGACTTGCATTTTATTCCATTTCATTGGATATTTCAAAATAATTTGATCATATTTTTAGGTATAGAAACATAATACAGAATATGTTATCTTTTGATAATCAGTGATTGTTTCTCAATATTCCTCAATCTTTTTCAATACCAAGTGTAAAAAAATAGAGGGGTCCTAGAGTTTTTTGCTCATAATCAAATGCCCCTTCACGCCTTAATCCTAATCAGGATTTTGTCAAGGACCCTCGACACTGAAAGGTTTGTTGTTTAATGATGCACTCAGCAATCTTTTAGCAATATGATGGCGGTCTAGACCAGACAATCATTGTACACATCTAATACTATATGTCTAGCTTTAACTAGCAAGGCCCTTAGCCTAAAAAACTCTGCATTTATGTGACCTCAATATACATCACTGAATTATTAGTTTTCAGCTCCTAATGGTTTTGATGCTTGTAAACTCAGAGGTTTGTATATCAGAGCAAGTGTTAGGCACATGCTGCAGGCAAATAAACATAACACAAAAACACATAGTTTTTTACTCAGTGATATGAACTGCCCAGTTTACCAGCAAAGCATTTCCATTGTATCCTTACTATTCCATGTGTTGCAAGTGTGTGAAAAGGGTATAGATATGTACTGACAACAAGCAAGAGAAACTACTCTCATGGATGGTATGTACTCACAACAGTGATAGCCAGTGCTGATTGGCTAGGCTACTAAGTTGGAGGAAATGCCGGCGTGTAGCGAAACTATGCAAGTAAAATAGTTGAAAAAATTAAAGTACAATCTTGCATATACAAACAATAATCCATGATGACAAAAAAAGGGTTTTTAGACCACTGACAATTAAAGAAAAAACATCTACCATTTTAACACAAATGTACCAGTCTTGGTTATCATACCAAGACAAACACTGTTCATAAACTTAACATACACCATGCAAAATACAATTTACACAAGGCAAAGGTAATCATACAGAAAATGGAATTTGAGAAAATAATTCAAAAGCAGTCTTATCAGAGTTATCTCCCTTATAACTTCACGATCTTTCACAAGAGTTGAACTATTACATTTACAATGTACAAACACCATGCATATAACTTTCAATCAACAATGATAATATCTTTAGAAAAGAAGTCAGATGTTGACTGCATATGAAGTTCCATCACCAGTAGTCATTTCAACATGTGTTTAAGTCTAAACAGGACAAAATTTGGTTGCTGTGGAATGCCATACATGGATTTTCATGAAAAGATAGGATCATTGAAATATCTTCACAATTTTCAAAAGCTGTCACTGACAATTTGAAACAATGATTATTCATAGTAGCTTAATATGTAAAATGACCTACCCTGGGCCTCATTCCACAAAGTGATCTTAGTGCTAAGATGATCACAACTCCAATACTTTAACAGTGATTTACAATAGTCAGAGTGTTAAAGTCACTTTGTGGAACAGGGCCCTGATCATATTCTTTAACTAAAGCTGCATCTATTTTATACATCACTCAGTAACAAAAAGAATTTTATTCCAATGCTGATATCCATCCTTGATTTTCTCGTGTATCATATCTCAATTTTGTTCAGATCAAAACCCTAGGCCCATTCGCCACCATAGTTTCATTTTGAGTTGATTGTAAATAGGCAAAGGTAAAAAAAGCTGTCTACTCAAATTTCACCCATGAACAAGAGAAATTCTGTGTGAGGCTACAGATAAGCATGATAAGAGAGATAGATATGCTCAAATATTCAAATATATTGTGGCGATTGGGTCCCGGGTATTTATCATGATAGAATGGTGGTCTAATGCCCGCATAATCAGGGACGGCTAATATCAGAAAGCATTTCTTCAGTTACACAAGTCTAGTGGATAAAAGATGTAGAAGTATCTCACTTTGATTTTGTAATTGCACGCTTTAGTTCCTTCTGCAGTTGCTGGACCCTGTCCTCAGAGTTCTTGAAGTTGATGGTCGTCCTCTCATGTTCCCGCTCGCTCTCATTACGCTCCTTCTCTGCTTCATTCACCTGACAACATCCGACATGGACAACCTTAGAAGTGGAAAAAATCATTCCTCTTTTTTGTAAGTCCTAGAGTCTTGCCACACGCATGGACAAAAAAATAAGGAAAGTAACTTGATTTTCTCAGTACTCGCTCAATAACATAAGTTGTACAATGTTGTAGCTGGGCCAAAAATCAAAATAGTCAAACAAATCGTAATGAGCAGAAACAATATTTCAATATGGATGGCATCCATTTGTAAAATTGGATCAGAATTCTTAGGGTATTTATTAGAGACAACATAGCTTTGAACATTCATGCAAAGTTTTAGAAAAGATGCAAAAACTGTAAAAGTTAACAATGGCCAATGTCCCATCTGTTTGATCATTGACAAACACAGTCATTCATCTTGTGTAAGATGATATTTCATTATGATCACCTTCATTGTAGCATGGTTGAGCATCTCCTGCCAGGCGGGGTCTGACGGCTGTTCCCGTCTCATGTAGCCCTGCTCTGCTAGTTGCACCATCTCCTTCGCCGCTTCATGCATACTGCAAGCTCTCTCATACCTCAGTGCTGCCTTCTGTGTCTCCAGGTGGTCCTACAGTCCAACACAGCATCATAAAGCCAATAGGAACATTATTCTCATTTAATAATGTCCTCATGTAGGCAAATGCTCGAAATAAGCGCCACCGACCAACTTCTAGACCAGTCTGAAAGTAATCTTTATAAGTGCCCCTTCTGAGACCAAAAACTTTTCATGACAGCCGTATTTTCTTGCATATACTACAGACTTTTCACAAAAAGTGTAGAAGGATCGCTATTTATTGTCTATGATCAAACAAAATTTGCAACAATCTGATTGGCATTTAAAACTGTGGAAATCCACTGGGCTTTTCATGGTGATAAGTATCTGTGTTGATAAAGTCTTTTACTAGAACCATCACACTGTTGGGACCAAACTAAAATACCAGGAATCAAATACTCAATCACACGGAGATATAGCTGTCTTTTAGCTACAATGTTGCTGATTGTGGGGTCAACACAGTGAACATTTTTATCATCTATACTTGCTCAATAAGACATCAACTTTCAACCATGTCTTCGATTCAGACCACCCAATATATCATGCTAATACATAAACTCAGAATCATCACATGGCTGTTTTGTTTCTACACTGACAGATAGACACAGGTACAGTTAATGTAATTATTTTGTGCATATGGCTGGCCAATATCAATATCATGTTTATATTACACTTATTTCTAATTAATATTTACCGTAGCTGAAAAACAAAGTAAATTCATTCTTGTCATGTATCTTATTCGATATGCATGTCTGTAAGGTCAGAATTTGAAATTGAGGGAGTTCCTAGGATCTTTGAGGTTTGCTCAAATCATAGTATTTGAATCTAGGGATCCTATCTATTCCAAATATTCAATTTATTATCATAAGTATAGTTACGACAAGGACCCCATGACTTCAAATTCAATTTAAAAAACAGCATGGTCATCAGTAATATGGTGTACCAGAAAACATAACATTGTTTACATGACAGCACACACAAACACCAATAACATAAATATTTTCTTCCTTACATCTTTGGCTTTAATCCGAGCATCATAGTAAGGTCGAGCCTTTTCCACACATGCTCCAAGTTTTTTGGCCAGAGTGTTAAGTTTTTGCGTTGAGTCAGACAAAGCTTGGCGGAATGAGGCCCTGGCATCCTGAAATATCAATAATGGAAACATTTTTGTAAATTATATCAGAAACAAAGCTCAACATCTTTGAAACAAATTTCAAAATTAATTGTCAAGTTTTAGACATTGATGTAAGATGATCATAAAATCCTCATCATAAGGACACAACTGATATGGCTCCAGAACCTTATAATGATAAACATCTCATTTTAAAATAATCAGTGGTTGTTACTACTCTCAATACGTCCAGATTTCTTAACAAAATTGTGCTGGTGTCCAACATGAAATATTTTTAGACTAAGATATTTTCAGGATTTACTATCATGACAACGATAGAAATTGACATTAGTCCTATAGTCCTTGCCAAACTGCCCAATACTTAAGGTATCATAAGGAATAGTAGAATTTTTATCATTTTTAAGGGTTTTGCTATATACATGTATATCATTATAAGGACCAATGGACTAAAAATGTTAGTTTCTATCGCTGTCATGATGATCATCATATATTTTCAAATGTATAACCTGTATAATATGTTATACATTTCGCATGTTTTGACCAACAGAGTTTCTTTTCATGACATATCACAAAGGTAAAGAATGTTGAGCCATTTTACAAGGTATTTCTAACAATGTGATGTCAAACGCAGGATCTGTAGTACTGAAGTCTCAGCACAAATATAGATTAGAAAATTAAGTCAAACATATACATGTATTGTAAATAATCACATCATCGCAAAATGTGGCATTCATTTGCATACTCTCACAAGGGATTTATCTACATGTCCTCAGAGGCCAATACTCAACCAAGATCAAATGTCCGTAAAAATTCTGGAAATGGAACAAAGCTTCAGACAAGGTGCATTTTTGTGTAAAATATGCACAATATATCCTTTTAACTTAATTTATTTGGAGATGTCTGCGTACAAATATGCATGAAAATACAAACAAACCAAGAAAACTAGCACTGTGTAATTATCCAATGTAGCCTCTTAAGATTGTGTACCTGAATGTATTTTCAGGCCTTTATTTACCATGTTTACTGATTAAAGGCAGGTATTGTGTGTATGAACTCCATAGCAGTGAATATTTAAAAAAGTCAAAATTGTCAAAATTTCGATGGGTCTTTTGGCAAACTAATAACAGATATAATAAAAACACAATCAGAATTGTTAGTGAAATGAAAGGTAGGTTGAGTTACCATGGTTACCAGAAACACAAGTATTTATTTCATTTGCCTGACATGACACATTTGTTTTGAGCGGAGAAGGGATAAGAAGTATTTCAGAAAATTACACTTCAAAGACACTCACACTGCTCACTTGTCAATTGGCTGGTCACAGTTTCTCTAACATTTTAAAATCTGTGGGTCACACTGACTCCCAAGCTACCACATCACAAGTTGCATAAACATGATAAATATTTCCACATGATTAGCAACTAATCAATACTTCATATTTTATTCATGTGTTATTTCATGTGACATAACGACTCTTCTTTCAGAGACTCTAGTATTTCTACATGTTCTATGTATCAATTACTTAGGCAGATGCTATTAAATCAGGAATCAAAACAAAACTCATATTCCTGTTTGCTGTATCTTCATATTTGTTGCCTCATACATGCAGGATTCTGGGTAACTCTGGCAAATGCTAGGCTAATCGATTTATATTAAATTTTTCAAGATACTTCAATTAAACTATTTACAAAATGTCCAGGTTTGTAATTGTCACAGAAAGACTTTTTTTGCATATCAAAATTTATCAGTAACCAAGTTAAATCTGATAGGCACAGAGATTTAGCTAGGGACAAATGGCAATAGGACATTTCCTAATTTATCACTTTTGATGTGACATTCTTCTGTATGATTACTAAACTTGAAAGTAAATCTTCGGGACATTTTGGATGCCAATCAGTCAGTATCCTAGAAATGAACAATCCTGTAGGCTATGTAAGTCGTTAAAGAAAGTCTTGATAATTATAGGGATTTATCTAGGCATCCAAACTAAGTGCCCTTGGCAGGCAAACTGGTGAAAACAATATTTTGCATTAAATTGGGACTTTCTTAAAGTGTTTTTTTAAATTTCAGCAGTATTGTTACCAATGTGTTTTAAAATTGCATTCAAAGCAAATGCAATAACTAAAATTTAATAATTAAAGTCTCTTCTTCTTTATTGGTCCTCTTATCAGTGAAGCATCTTCAACCCAGTTATCACATTAGTTAACATGAACTAGTTACCAATATCATGTGTATTAACCAATTGACATGAATCGGGGAATTCTAATTCCCATATTGGATTTTTCACGGACACTTGCTACAGAATTTGGTTGAATATTGATTGACCTCAGAACAGATAAGTCCCTGAATTAATTTTGTTTGTCTTTCTACAAATTTACAATAAAACAGACAAACCTATTTGCAAACTCCTTTGTAACTATGGAAACTGGAAATGATAGTTAAGACTTTCTATCCAACAGGAAGTAGAGAAGTAGGATTCTTTCCAGATAAAGGAAGCAGCATCCTTTCAACATGTTCAAGAGCATGTTGAGGCAGGCTTAGAATATGTCAGTTATTTCAAGAGGTAGAATACTCACGTCCAACTCTAGTTCCAGTTTGTTGATCTCTTCAGTTGCCTTGTTTAGCTTCTCAAGCTCTATCTGAAATTGTGACAGAAAATTCAAATAATTGCAGTTGATCTTTTTCCATAATATTAAATATCATAAACAACACAATCATTTCACAAATATTAGGCTGTGATTATAACTCTGATCTCATGTTTATTCTTAAGAGTTGGGGGGCGGTTGGGTAGCCGAGTGGTTACAGAGTTTGCTCGTTACGCCGAAGACCCGGGTTTGATTCCCGACATGGGTACAATGTGTGAAGCCCATTTCTGGTGTCTCCAGCCGTGATATTGCTGGAATATTGCTAAAAGCGGCATAAAACCACACTCACTCACTCTTAAGAATTGGGAAACAATTCCTACCAATATCGAGCACATGAATAGTGCACCCAAACAGTATTTTCTGAATTTCAGCACAACACTGTATATTCTAACTCAACCTTCATGACCTAGTTACAAGTCAAAGGATCACCAATCAATATTGGTGTCAAACTTTCATATAGCAAATGTTAAGCATTGCGTTTAGCTCCAGATTGGGATGCAAAACTACACCATGGAAAACTAATGACAGGTTATCTATTCTTGTCAGACATACATGTAGTTTACTCGTTCCCACCAATGTTATCAAAAGCCTACTGGCGATGACTAAGCATGATATTGTAATTTCATGTTGGTCATTCAGCTGTGATAGTTTAATGGACACTCAGTCTGTGACAAAACTTTTGAGTCTACTACTACTACCAGCCCATACATCCCTCCAAGCATAATTTTCGGTGGGGTTTAGTTTATTGTGCAGCGGTAGAAACTAACATTTTTGGTCCACTAGTCCTTATAATGATAACATATAGCAAAACCCTTAAAAATGGCAAATGTCTACTAGTCCTTATGATACCTTAACTATTGGGCAGATTGGCAAGGACTATAGGACTAGTGCCAGTTTCTAACCCTGTTGTGTGGACTATTATAAGTATTATTAACAGAGCTTACTAGACCAAACAGAATTATACTATTGCAGACTGTTCACATGCATCGTTCATACTGAATAGTGAACACCTATCCAGAGCTCCAGATTAGCATGATAAACACACATTACCTAATAATTAAATTTTCGTTGTGTTCATGGAAATTCCTGCATTCTGATTAGCTGAATTGGTCACGTGTTATTGCATTCATTTCCCAATGAATGTAAAAAATTAAGCCACGCCCACCGCGGCGCACTACTTTTATTACTGCGGAATGTTGGGGAATCCCAATATTACAGTCGAGGGAATTCCCTTTCTGCTCACGTGTATCGTCATGCACAGGACATTTAGCGACTTTCATGCATATTCACTGTCCAAACTACCCTTTGAAACAGAAGGCCGAGAATGAATGAAACAGCAAACATGCAGGCTCGCTCGCCTGTTTTTTACCCGCTCACCCCGGTTCAACTTTCATGTCTTCGGGTTTCATTTATAACTAGCATTTCTCCCACTGTGTTTTACCGTCATCAGGGATGTAATGTTTGAATCACGCACTAAATGCCCATGTTATTTGAAACAGCCGCCTTCTCTCGGACATATTTCTTCCGGTTCGTTACAGTCTGACTGTTGCAGTTCTTTTTGCTTCTTGCCTTATTTGACAGGTCCAATGAACATTGTTTTAATCCCACTCTCCGTTGATTGGCTACTGACTGTGTAGGCATGTCAAGTTATGTGCATAAATTAAACGATCACCTGATTCATGTCACGCCACTGTATGTGTTTTGATATATGCAACTGTTTTGGGTTAAACTATTGTAGATAAAACATGTTTTACGTTGTCGAATTTAATTATAAGCATTGACTGTATATTTTTTTCGGTTCATCGAGGTATGAATCGAAAAACCGATGTGCAAACTTTTGTAAGAATCCGCTACGTGGATTCATACAGTTTGCACATCAGTTTTTTTATTCATACCTCAATGAACCGAAAAAAATACACAGTCAATACTTAAATAATTTTGACTTGCTTACATACAATGTACAAATATGTATGAATAATTTCAAAACTCAATAGTATAATACACTATGTAATTCCCCACTGCATCCTCTCACAAAGCCTGTATTCCTTTACAAATCATTATTTGTGACCCACCAGGAGAAAAGGGACCTTATGGGTGCTAGGATACAACTGTGCTGTGAAAGATGTTTGGCGTAAAAATCACCATGTGTTACTGTTAGGACTGTACAAAAATATATTATTTTCCACCTTTACTCCTTAATTCTTAATGTAATAAAAATTATTTCAAAACATTTCAGCATTCATGCCTATGTTCAATTAATCTGACCTTATATCTGAAAACTGCACTTATTACATAAATAGTTATAAATCTGAAAATGGGGCTTTGCGAAAATGAGTCCAATGTTTGATGTCATGTATCTCTGTAAAAAATATAAATTGAAGCTTGTGATTTGTATTTGTGTTCCTAAGATAGTGTAGTTTTAAAATATAATGAGAAGTCAAAATGTGACCCACAAGGTCCCTTATCCTGCTTATCTCATGGTTGGTCACGTTTATTGTTTGTTTGTTGCTTAACGCCGCACTCAGCAATATTCCAGCTATATGACGGCGGTCTGTACATATGGAGTCTGGACCAGACAATCCAGTGATTGGCATCATGAGCATCGAGATACAATGACATGCATCAACCAAGTCAGCGAGTCTGACCACCCGATCCTGTAGTTGCCTCTTCCGACAAGCATAGCCGCCTTTTACGGCAAGCTGAAAACTTATTCTATCCAGGATCTTCACAGGTCTCACATTTATTGATTAAATGAAGGCATATATGAACGCTATTGCAGTAAATAATGTATAAACAGGTGCTATGTCTTGCTCATTGTTAATGTATATTGCTGTTTTGAGCATGCAACATATTGCACACCTGGGGCAGCACACAAACAGATGCACATTAGAAGTCACTTAAAACAGCATTTTAAGGAGAATTATTTTTAAAATGCCAACTCATTGGTGTAAAAATACATAATAGGCATGATAGAATGGACAAAGGGACTAAATATATTGAACACCAAAAGAAAACTATCAATACCCAATGTGAATGATAACTTGTGAGTAAATTCGGCCTATCTTTAGAATACAGTACCACAAACTTTTCAAACACCTCATAATACCCTATGACATAATTTGTGATATTTTGTTGCCAGATACACCATCGAAACAATGCCCTGTGATGTCAGGGTCATTGAGTGTGCATAAGCTCTTTTCAGTGCTCTATCACCTCAACATGCTCGTCACTGACATGCTGAACAAACCCAGCGATGTTGAGCATGTTGAGAGTTTTCAATAATCGTCCCTTAAATATAGCTTGAGGCGGCACACTTTATTGCAGGCCCCAGTTTATGAAAGCATTTTTATGTTCAATATTTTAAAAGTTAATTTATAAACTAATATGCATATTTTATTTTTTTGATTTGGTAGTTTTCATTTGTATGCACAGGAATGTAGTTTATTATTGAGGTTTCACACATACATGTAAACGTTGCCAGTCCAAACTCTACCGAGGGTCTTCTGTTGCAATAAATCAATTAGTTGGATGGATACAAGGCTTTAAGCATGTTAAGAGCTGTGCAAATGCATTTGGAATCTGGATAAACTAAAGGGATAATTGCTATCATTATCAAAAGAACAGTCTAATATACTGAAAACCAGTGTCTAACTGGGACGTAGCTGAGGCATTTTATAAGTTTTGGCAACTTTGGAGATATATACATTTCGAAACATTTTTGAGAGGGCACTAGGCCTCGCCAAGCGGGATCAGTAGCCATATCTGTGCTTGTAGAAACCTTTTCCACAAATTAAAATAGTTGGATTTAGCCGAAATATGTTTGAATTGTTTCGTTTTGTAGCTGTGTGTACATCTGACTCCACTTCTTAACGTTATGACAGTCAACAACGTCTGAACGTGGCCGTGACGTCTCATAGACTAGGGTAAGAGTAGCTTCCCTTTGACAAAGGGCAGTTACTCTAGCAGACAGACCGATGGATTGCCGCAAAAGGCAAGTAAAAACAATTGTTGTTTTGCGTATATGTTGCTTCGCCACTGTATAAGAAACAGATTTCAGTTGGAACTATATTAGCTACTGTCACTGTCCGACTGACACATCACTTACCCTGTGACGTAATAAATATTAATTCGCGTATTCCAGGAAAACTCGCAATGTTTCGGTAATGTTTGTGAGGGAGGGAAAGCGATTTTCAAGCGCAGAATTAAAAAATGACATTATATGATAAAGAGGTTTTCATGCTTGTGTGTTTGGGGAAGGAAAATATCCTGCATTAGGAATAAACTTTGTATTTAGCAAGCCATAATGCAGGATATTTACAATCCCCAAACACACTCGCGTGATAACCTCTATTTATTTTATTGTTTTCACTTATTCAGTTCCACCTAAGCCACTTTTACTCACTAGGCCTACACTTCGTCAGAAATGATTCAAAAGCTGACACACCCTCGTGGCCTCGGTAGCCACGCCCATGCCTTCCTAGTTCCTTACTATGATCCACATTATCCATACAATGTTCCCTCCCACACTTTTCTGTGACAAAATCACCCAACAAATTATTCCAACCATCATTCATGAATACTTATAAATTCAACGTCTGACCCCTGAAGATGTTCGTGCCAAATATCATCTCATTCCTAAGACCTTACCACTCAGTATCTTGAAGATTACGGAATGGGAGAAATGTTGGCATCGGGATCACTCATAGTGTATGTAGACTAAGGGAAAGAGACACCAAGCCTACCCGTAACCTTCGTAAGGGTCCATAACCTACTCAACCCTTTCCGTCAGTTTGGTAATGGACCCGTGAAGATCAGGGGTAGAATAGGTCTTCAGCAACCCATGCTTGTCGTAAATGGCAACTGCTTGTCGCAAGAGGGGACTAACTGGATTGGGTGGTCAGACTCACTGGCTTGGTTGATGCATGTCATCCTATCCCAATTGTGTGGTTCGATGTTCATGATGTCAATCACTGGATTGTCTGGTCCAGACTCGATTATTTACAGACCGCCGTCATATATAGCTGGAATATTGCTGTGTGAGGCGTTAAACAACAAACAAAACAAAAGAAAGAAAAAAGTTAACAACGTCTTAGGCATGAGTAGGTAAATTTGCACTTAGTTTCAAAGTGTGGATGTAGCTCAGTTGGCTAGCTGTCGGGCTAACAATCTGAAGGTTTCAGTTCACGTCCGACAGATACTCACAAAAACTGACACGTGACCGACGGCAGGGATCATTCTCACAAGAAGTTGTGGTACTGTATTCTAAAGGTGCTCCGTAAATATTGCACATGAATATTATCAATATATAATGGCACATGTTTTACCAAAACTTATGGTCCATGGTAACTTATGGTAAAATGTATGTGAAAAAGAGTAGTCAAAGTAAATTGTTTACTTGAGCTAAAGGCCTAGAATAGTGTTTGAAAGATTTATTATAAATTGTATTCTCCAAAGATTAGCCATTAATACAGCCGACCTCAAATACTAACACTGCTCTAAGACTAGCATTCAGAAGACTTCAGCATGTTTAGTCTCAGAACATGAAACAGATGCTTGTCCTTGTTTATTGTTTAACACCCCAATCGTGTCTGGACTACATAAACCAGTGATTGACAATAAAAGCAGCGAACCATGTTGTCAGGGAACATGCTGACATGTCAAGTCACAGCCTGACCATGCAATCCATTGAGTCCCTCTTAGTCTTACAAGGTTACTAAGATATCATAGGTGAGTCATGTTAGTGGGATCTAGAATCCCAACAGGCTGAATCAGATATCTAAAATTAGAGGGTGACAAACTGTAATGATAACATACTAGGAACTAACAAATGTTGTTGTTATTTGTTTTGAAGATAAACAATTAAAACTGCACAGGACTATTTATGAAATCGCTTATCATTACCAGTACAAGTAAAGAGCGAACCAACAACAATAAAGGATCTCAATAGCAAAGAAAATGTTATGTAAATTCAATGATAACAGCCACCTGAATCCTTGGATCCAGTTTTTCATCATGGAACTCTTCGCTGTCAGTTGACAGTTGTCTTCGTATCTGATGCAGAGCCTCTTTTTGATCCGCCATTTTGAATCAAAGACTGAGGAAAGATGTCAGAAATTTCTTTGGCTCAATAATGTCCAGTTCTTCGCAACATTATCCATTTTAACCACTGTCCTCTCTACGTAGCTGAAAATACAATAGACGACAAATCATGATGAGGTTCCATGGTAGTCACAGCCCGATAATGAATTACCGAGCCACAAACAGTTCTTGTTGCTACCGGAAGTGGTTAAACGTCACCGGAGTTAACGCGGAAGAAACCGATATACCGGTGTAAACATTAATAAGGACCCTGTGAAATATGCACAAATATATCTGATGTGAGGACATTTCAACCTTGAATTCTGTTTTGTAATTATTTTACCATTATCCCATAAAAATACTCTATATAAGTCGATTTAGGGATTTTCCTCCCTATACTCAGCCTAACATTGTATACTTCAGTTACATTCATTGCAAGTCAAAAGATATGTGTCCATTTTACCGGAAGGTACATAACCAACACAAAACAACGAATACCAAATTAAACATGAATGCACAAAAGAAAAACATTTATCACGCATGAACAGAAAATAATGCCTGCAAACAGTCATTAATTAATATGACATACTTATGATATGTGTGTCATACTGATTTTACGAAACGAGTGTCAGAATTCTTGTATTTCCCGATCGCGAGCGAGAGTAAAAATACATGCATTGTTACACGAGTTTCGTAAAATCTGTATATCATAGCGAGTGTAATCATTTCTTTATTTCCCATTACGTCTTAATCGTGTTGACCTTCCCTCTAGAAAAATGCACTGATCACCACGGCTGTCCTAGAAAAAACACATTTTGTCGAATGACATCAACAATCTTTTGACGATAGAGATTTTACGAGCGCTTCCAATAGAGCCGATTTCACACGCTGGAACAACATAATTACAAGACGATTTATACAAATGCAGCATAAATATAGATGCCTACATACCCAAACGTAAGGGATTAAACCTTCTTATGCCGACCACGGTTAGTTGATAAGTGCCATGTATACATATTTGCCTTTATTGCCTACTAACGAGCACCTGTTACGCCACTCCTCGATTGCGTATATTGCCGACAGTTGACTGACAATTAACTGCCTCATTAGTACCCGCAGTTTATCTCCATTTGATAATTATCTGTGATTACATACAACGGGAACGGCCATACGGTGCATAGCGCATTTATATACATCAGAGTGTTACGAGTCAGTGGGATAGATTAGAGGTTGAAGCGTTAGCTGGTGCACTTAAATGTCGAGATTGAAAGAATTATTATTGCAACGGAGAAAGGTTGTTTCACCGTACACTACCACAGGACTGCGCCGTACCTAAATGAATGATGCGTCCAGCTGTCTTGTCATGGCCTCGATGTTGGTTGTTTTTCACTCCTGCTGAGTGTACAATATGTGTTGTAGTACTATATTAAAGGACTGTTTGTTGGTACATTGTATTTGTACTGACAGGAAGTCTCACTCCCTCGCTGTTATCCCGGTGGAGACTGTGTAGTTCATTAACTCGGTGACACTTCCGTGTATGTGAAGGGAAAAGAAACTGTTTCCTACAGCATAGCCGGTACTGAAGGTATACATGTCCATAAACTGACAACACCCAACGTACTTTATTTCTTATCGACAATTAATTTTATTTTGCCATTGAGATATAACGATGAATAGAATACGTCATCAGTATTACATACGCACATCAGTAAGATAAATGCCTGAGTTGGGTAAGAATAATATTTTACTTATTTCACGACGTATACGTGAGTGAGTGAGTGAGTTGAGTTAACGCCGCTTTGAACACGATTCCAGTTCTATCATGGCGTGTCAGCTCATGTGAGGGGAAAGCCCGAGGTGACGCATGCCGTTAACCACTTTGGTTGGACCCACGAGCACGGGTATGGTGCTGATAAACCGGGGTGAACTCTGGTGAGGTGAAATGGGGTTAACGTGTGTTTATTATTTACTTATATAACGACGTGCATGCAAGTATGTGTGGCCGGATTTATGCCGGTTTTATAGGAGATACCATGCTGCAGTTATAACACGGGTTAATTGTTTTGCTTGTTTGTTTGTTTCTTTGTTTGTTTGTTGTATAACGACGCTCTCAGCACTATTCCAGCTAAATGACTGTAAATAATCGAGTCCGGACCAGACAATACAGTGATTGACATCATGAACATCGATCCAAGCAATTGGGATACGATGACATGCATCAACCAAGTCAGCGAGCCTGACCACCCGATGGTTTAATTTAATAACTCCTCCATATAGTGAAAAGGATAGTGGCTGTCTCAAATGCTTGTTTTTTTTTCATTAATTAATGTTTATATCAAGTAAATGATATTGTCAAAGTAAAAAGACACAGTCGAAACTGAATGTTTTGGTGACCCCCCTCCAGCTATCACCCTTGCAGGTGTATGCATGGGGCACGGGTGGTCCAGTCGTTTAATGCCCGGTAATTCCCTGTGCAGAGTTGCGTCCCTTGGGCACGACAGAACTCCAAGATTGGTGGTTTGAATCCCGGTTTGTCCAGATTATGTTTATGGGTTTGTCAGCACCGTGTCCGTGCTCGTGGGTTTCACCAAAGTGGTAAACGTCAGAGACCTGCATTACTTCGGTCTTTCCTCCTGAATCAACCTGACATGCCGTGATATACTGTTAAAAGCTGCGTTAAAACCCAAGTCACCACTCACGTATATATGTGAATATACAAGAAAGCAACATGTTTGCATAGTTCTGAAAACGTTTGAAGAACATTGGAGACATGAAAGCTTTTATGTGTTTCGCATTTCATGGCTATTTCTTGCCTCTTCATTAGGTTTTGTAACATCAGGTGATATTTCGTCTATTGCAGTTTGATTATTTAGCCAACCTTTAGAATACAGTTCCACAACTTCTCGCGTCGAACGCGAACTCGCGACCTTCCGATTGTTAGCCCGACAGCTAACCGACTGAGCTACGTTCACACTGTGAAACTAACCGCAAATTTACCTAGTCATGTCTACGACGTCACGGAACTGAACGAAAAGGGTCGAATAGGTGACGGAATATGTTCTTACTTTACTTTCCCAACCACGCTGCCTCACAAAACGGTTCTTTTCAACATACATTACGGTTTGTAGAAATACTGTTGCAACACCAGATCACATGGGCTCTTGCAACGTCGAGAACATAAAAAAACACAATTATTTCATTCAATCTCCATTATTCATAACGCACGCATGCATTAATGCTCTTCTGTCGCGACCTTCCGATTGTTAGCCCGACAGCTAACCGACTGAGCTACGTTCACACTGTGAAACTAACTGCAAATGTACCTAGTCATGTCTACGACGTCACGGAACTGAACGAAAAGGGTCGAATAGGTGACGAAATATGTTCTTACTTTACTTTCCCAGACACGCTGCCTCACAAAACGGTTCTTTTCAACATACATTACGGTTTGTAGAAATACTGTTGCAACACCAGATCACATGGGCTCTTGCAACGTCGAGAACATAAAAAACACAATTATTTCATTCAATCTCCATTGTTCATAACGCACGCATGTATTAATGCTCTTCTGTCGAGGGCACCTGTTTCGGGACATGAAAAACACGGGGAACAAAACAATTCGACACCGGTAAAAGTGTCTCGAGCTGTCATTCTCCGTGAACTGCGAAGGAGGCGGTGTTTTGATTGTCGCAGCGACACGAAGATAACGGGTAAGATTTCACAGCTACGTTCCGCTGACGGTTAACTTATCTGTGTTTGTATAATCGGAGAAGCAAATTAATCCACTGTCACTTTACCTTTATTTCTTTGTTTGTAAACAAACGTGAAATTGCACGAGAATGCACGTGCTATTTCACGACTTTGTTTGAAGACATAAAATAGCTTGCATTACCATAGTTGTTTTTTTTATAGCATTCCTAATTTGGCTATCCACAATAAAATAAATAACATTTGCTCGTATATATGCTTTAATGTCGTAAGTGCACAAAGTAAATTATACTTATATCACTGATTTTTTTTTACAAATTCGAGATTCGTATCTTCTTTTTAGATCTACACTGCAGTCATGCAAGATGTATGTTTATATTTCATTCTCATATTATGTTTTCTTTATATAAATAAATGCCATCAAGTTTATGTTGATACTTGAAAAATAATGTCATTATAATTGTCTTATTATGTCAAATGAAAGAATGATACAGATTATTATTAAAAAAAATAATATATATATATATATTTAAAAAACCCAAACTTTTTACTATATGTTTACTAAAGGATGATATTTTTTTTCATGTGATAATAAGAACCAGAACATTCAATTACTTTTGTTGTGCCAATGTTTATCATGTTTATAATGTCTGCATTCCATCTTGAGATATTCTTCCCACCATATACTGTATGTAGTTCACGTATGGTTTGGTCATAATTACAATGTTAATGTATTTATTTGAAAACGTTTTAATTATCTTAATTAGCTTTCTTTCTGGATTCATATAACTGGTGCTGTTAGTATGGTTAGGGTCGTGGTCAGCTCAGATACTACAGGAATGTACCCCAGTATTTTTCTGTATACATACATGCACCCTGGCTTGGCAGTATAACATTGGAGGCATGACAAGTCAGTTTTCACAATGCATGAAGCCAGTTATAGTTCGACTTTCGCATTAACTCAGTCCCATGTCTTGTAAGCTCAATAGCGTATGTGCAATATGTTCTTTGATTTTGGGTAGGATACATTTGTATATGATGTCTACCCCAGGTAGATATCTGTAGTAGCTGAGGGGCGGTCGGGTAGCCTAGTGGTTAAAGCGTTGGCTCGTCACGCTGAAGACCCAGGTTCGTTTCCGGACATGGGTACAATGTGTGAAGCCCATTTCTGGTGTCCCCAGCCGTGATATTGTTGGAATATTGCTAAAAGCGGCGTAAAACCATACTCACTCACTCACTGTAGTAGCTGTGATGACAACACTTTTTGTTGACCATCTCTTATTGTTTTATTACAATGTATGATACAAAGATGGAGGTATCTTAAACAAGGACCTCCAAGTTTGTTAAGGAAATGACAAAAGATGTTGGAGATGGAACAGAGTTATCATCATGCAGTA